GATGCAGGGGGGTCCCCCCTCCCGCCCATCGCCACCCCCTCTCCCCCCCCACAGTCTCCCTCGTCCTGCACCAGGGTATCAAAAAATAAAACCCTTCCAGAGTTGAATTGCAGCTTTACTCCTAACTCCCACCCCCCATGCGCGTGCAGGCTGCCCCCCCCGGGGGGGGCCTGTTAAAGCTTCAGTTCGTTGGCAATTTTGGAGGCAATGTTCTTGAAGGCCATGGAAGTGCCCGATATCCGCTTGAAGCGCACGCCGTTGAGCGAGAGGCGAGGGAGCTTGCACACCTCCATCTCCCACTGCACAAAGGTCTCGTGGCCCGGCGCTCCGTGCATGCACAGGAGCATGTACTTCTCCTGCAGCTCGCACTGGCAGTTGTTAGCGTCCAGCACTTTCCGGATCTCCTTCATCATCTCGTTGGGCTCCATGGAGCTGGTGGTCTTCATGCTCCACGTGAAGCGCAGCGAGCGGGGCTTGGCTTCCCGGTTCTCGTCCCGCTCTTTATCCCCGCTGCCGCCAACCATGTGAGGCCTGGGGAAGGGAGGGGAGGGGAAAGAAAGAGGGGCGGGGGGGGGAACGACAGTGAGGAAGAAGAAGGACGCCTGTCCCACCCCCTCCGGATGTGTCCCGAGCGCCCTGCCTGGCCCAGCCCAAGTGGCAACCAAAAGCTTGGGGGGGGGGGGGGGGGAGAAGAGAAAGACAGGGAAAGAAGGTTTTGTTTTTGGGAGGGGGGGAAGTTGGAAGAGACACAGGCACACAGAGGAGACGGGAGGTAGAGGTGCCAGGGAGGGGGCAGCCTGGCCCAGCTGGAGAGACAGACAGAGTGGAGGAGAGTTTGTCCCCAGAGGGGGGAGCCTTCCCCCCCCTTGCTCTGGCTGCATCTCACCTGAGTGTCTCCACGCGATCTTTGCTTTCGGGCTCATGCAGGGTCCTCAAAAAACAGAGCAGGAGAGAAGAAGTCAGGCTTTCTCAGGTTAGGGGCTTCTATACCTGCTCTCCTTTCCTCCCACAGGAGGGCAAAGGTGGGCACCGGGCATTTAGGGGGTGGGTGGAGTGGGGCAGTCAGTCAAGACGTCCAAGTGGGCCTGGGCAACCATCGGGGACCACGGCACGCCACCCTCTGCTTGGCATGTAGTTGGCGGGCAGGAGGGTAGAGGCGGGCAGGATGGGGTCACATCAATGAGATGCCAAACAGGCCTCATGAAGCACGGAAGCCATATCCAAGCCAGCAGGTGAGGAGGAAACGGAGGAGCCGTCATCAAGCGATGGGTGAAGAGGCTAAGTGATGGACTCCAACCTTCTTAGTTCAAACTCACAAGGTAGCCTCAAAAATGGGTCGCTCTCCTCACAATCCCCCACCCCAAATTTGGAACGCTGCTGCCCTCCACTGCCAGTGGGATGGCTGCCAAGGTGACCACGTTAACGGTATCTCAGTGTTCAAGAGAGATGCCGTAATACGGCAAACGCTTGGGAAGGTTGCCGCCGCCCCCCCCAAATGACTCAATCCTTCTCTGCTCCAAACTCTTCCTCCTGCCCCAGCCTTAAGCAAGGGCACTCCAGCCTCTGCCTCTCCATCATAGCAATCCTTTCTGTGAATAGGGCACGAGAGCCCCAAAACGTGTTCAGAGTTGCAGCGTGTTAGTCTGTGCGAGCGTTTCATCAAGGAACAGAAAACAAAACAAAAGGGGGGGAAAAGAAGACAAAAAAGAAAACGTGGCACTTTAAAAATTATCTGCCACATTTTAATGTCAGCTTTCATGGAACATCGTCCACTTCGTCAGGCAGATTAGTTACAGGGAACGCATAACTCCCCTCTGGTCCTGGGCAAAATTCAAAGTGATGGTTCTAACAACCCACAAAGCCCTAAACGGCTTGGGTCCAAGTTACCGTATCTTTCGCTCCATAAGACGCACCTTTCCGTAAGACGCACCAATTTTTTAGGAGAAGAAAACAGGAAAATATAATGTTTTCTTCACTCCATAAGACACACAGACTTTCCACCCCCCTGTTATGTGGGAAAAAAGTGCATCTTATGGTGTGAAAAATACGGTACCTAAAATATTGCATGTCCCTCTATAAACCTGCCTGGGCAATTAAGATACTCAGGGGAGGCCTTTCTCTTGGTCTCACCCATTGCACAGGAACATTTGGTGGGGACCCAGGAGAGGGCCTGCTCTGTCACTGAGCCCAGACTTTGGAACTCCCTCCCACTGGAGGCCAGGCTGGCCTCACCTCTGCCTGTCCTTCTGCAAGCAGGCAAACACCCTTTCTCTTCAGGTAAGCTTTCCCTTGGGGACTGGCTGTTGATTTTATTTACTATTTGTAACACTTATTTAGTTCTTTTTAATATTTGTATACTTACTGTTTTTAGCTTTTAGATATTATCTTTTTAATTATTTAAGCCACCTTGGGACCTTTTTAAGGAGAAAGGCAGGGTAAAAATATTTTAAATAAATAAATACATATATATTAAAACCCAGCGCAGTATGTTGAAATTTGGTTTCGGATTATTTTTTGGTGGAGTGTTGGAAGGTGTTGATGGGAGTTTAAAAAAACCCCACCTCTTCCTCTAACCATTTCCTAGGTATAACGTTAACCAAGGTCAACTGTTTTTTGTGACTCAGGCCTTGTGGATTCTTCTCTCCACAGCTTTGGCTTCATCTGCTTTGCTGGCATCAGGAGTGGGGAAAATCTGTGCCCTCCAGAGTTTGGCTGGCTACAGCTCCCGCTGTCCCAGAGCACTGGATAGGTCAGCTGGGGCTAATGGGAGTTGGAGTGCAACACAACTGGAGCTTGGGGAAACTGATCATGCTTGGATGTGGATTTGGGGACTGAACACATTGAGAGGGCACCTGCTGGAGGAGGAGGAAGTAGGGGTGGTTGGGCTTCAATGAAGGCACATGGAAAACCAGGATTTCCACACATCCTTCGGTCTTCTGAACAGGGTGCTCTCTGGTAAAAAGAGAATGACCTTCTTACTTGCTGCCTCTCTCTCTCCTGCGCACAATGCAAGGAGCTTCTAGATATACTTGCGTATATCTAGGAGGGCATTTCTGATATGCTGATGACACCCAGCTCTACATCTCCTTTTTCCCATCTGCAGTGGATGCTGTTTCGTCCCCGGGGCGCTGCCTGGAGGCCGTTCTGCAAGGGATGCTGTCAAATGGACTAAGGTTGAACCAGGACGAGACGGAGGTCCTGCGGGTGGGTGGCCCCGATGTCAGTGGTTTGGGAAACTCCCTCTCTTTTTTTGGGGGGGGTGACTCTCACCACAAATAATTTGGTTCGCAGTCTGGGGGCTCCATCTTGACCCGGTGCTTACCACAGAGACCCAGGTAGCGTCCGTGGTTCAGTCGGCCCACTTACATCTTCGGCAGATCGCCCTATCTAGACCCGGGGGCAATCACCACGCTGGCCCATGCGCTTGGGGCTTCCTTTGAGAGTGATGCGGAAGCTCCAAATGGTCCAGAACACGGCGGCCCAGCTATTAACGGGGGTGAAAAGATTTCACCGTATTTCCCCCACCTTGGCTGCCTTACACTGGCCACCTATCTGTTTCCGCATTGATTTCAAGGTGCTAACCATTACATACAAAGCCCTTAACAGTTTAGGCCCTCGATACCTAGCAGAGTGCCTTCTTCTGCCCAGTTCTACCCGTATCACCCATTACAGTCAGGCTGGGCGGCTGAGGGGCCTAACGCCAAGAGAGGTCCGGTGGGAAGAAACTAAAAAACAGGCCTTCTTGGCAGTGGCCCCTCGCCTTTGGAACAACCTACCTGTAGAGATCCGCCTGGCTCCCTCACTGAGGGCCTTCAAGACTAACCTGAAGACATGACTATACAGGCAGGCCTTCCTTACAACTATTACATACTAGCCTATCTCCCTTTTCCTTTTTTCTCTCTCTTTTTCTTCTTCTTCTCTTCCTTTCCCCATCTGGGACTCTGTGATTAACTTGGATTTTAAGTTAGTTTATTTTTATGTTATATGTAAACTGCCCAGTGGTAGACATGTTCTAGATGGGCGGTATATAAATCTAATAAATAAATAAATAAAAATAAATAAATACTTCTAATCAAGAAGAAATATAAGGGAAATTTTGGGTGACGTTTTCACGAATCCCCACAACATTTCGTAGGAGCATCGCCAGAGTATCCAAAACTTCTGCCCTCTAGCTATGCTGGACTCTAACATGGGGGCCATACTTTGGATGAGGGGATTTATAATCTAAACACCTGGTGAACATGAACTTAGAAGTCGGCTGATCCACAGAAATCCCAGAATTGCGAGGGACATTTCTACCACGTACACACCCACACGCTCCCTTCTCTCGAGAGACCTACTTTCCTTCTCTGCTTTTTACCTCTATCCGTCCATCACTACCCCAAATTCATTTTACTGAAAATCCTTCTCTCATCCACCCACAGCATCTCTATCTGGGCAGGACAAATTCCACCCTGACTCCTGAAAGAAATAAATGTATTCCACCGCAAATTGGATATTTTTGAAAATATGGGGTGGCTGGGGAGAAATGGGATTTCTGAAACCCTCATAAACTAAAGGCTGAGGGGGGGGAGGGAATTGCTTGGGGCCCAGGACGAGGTTTGCCTACAAAAATCGATCTGCTTCAATCCTCAGCCTCTCCAGGGATGCCCCAGCCAGACACCCAGAAGAGCCGCTGGATCCGTGCAGGAAAAGCTGGGCCGGATGGTCCGAAGGGTCAAATATTTGGTATAAGCAACTTCCTAGCTATGCTAGAGGAACATCATACCTTGTGCCTCTGGCACACAGGAAGATCCACTGGAACACACAGACACACACACTTTTTCAAGGAAGAAGCCAGCCACTCATTTTTGCAATGTTCCTCTCCGTGGCCATGAGGACTAGCAACCTTCCTTCCCATCCCCACTTTGCTATTTTTTTTTAAAAAGGGAAAAAAAAATAAAAAAAAGGGGAGGAGGAAGAGAGCAGAAGACACCAGAAGAAGCGAACACAACAGCTAAAACCTTCCAGGCATTGCTCAGAACATCCCAGAAGCTAATAGTATTCCAGTCCTTGGGGCCATGCAGACTTCTAGACCCT